GTCGCAGCAGTATCAAAAAAAAATTATAAGACAGCATGAGCAAACATCGGCAAGTGCTTAGGCTTTTTACAAATTGACGAAGAAATCAGACTGCAAATCATGACTGGCATCAAGTTTGCTAGACCCACATCCCAGTGGATTTCATCGAAACTTGTCCAACAAAAATTTCTATGTTATAAAGAATATGAAAAGGTTTTTAATGTATATGTGTTGCTAGTAGTAACTATCCGTGCTTATATAAATGCATATAGTATTCAGCAAAGGGACTGGCTTTGCATGTGACCCTTTGAGAAACTGTACCACGAGAAACTGTTCCATGCTTGAGTTCGCCAACCCAACGCCCAGTGTGTTCTGGGACCCACGAGAACTGGGTAACTTGTTTCGTGAATGCCGTTATGCTCGCCTTTTGGGTTCGCGAACCCACTGGGTACGTTTGTGAATGTCGGTTAAGCGACCATTGTGGATTTTAGAACCCACTGAGTAGGGTCCACCCACTGGGTTTGTTGATGAATACGGCCGCAGGTAACGCAGACTAACGGATACCCAAGAAGACGCGAGCGAGTTACATCAACAGATCATCTGGCGACGAGGTAGCAAGGTAGCATTCTGCTTCTCCTTCATTTTTTTATGAGTTGATTGAAGTCATCAACACGCATGCGAAAATCAGTTTGCGAGACTTATAGAAAGTCGTTAAGATATTTTTCTTGCAAAATTTTTGGTGAGGGAGCCTTTACTGACAAGCCCCATGTCATCTATCTCATACAGTGCTGGACATAATTACAAAGCCACTCTGAAAATCGTCGTAATTTTCGTTCTTGTCAATGAATCTGTCTAAAACTTTGCTGTATTTTGCGCATGTCAACCTACCATGACCCCTAAAAACGGCTTTCAGTCTTGTTGAATTTGAACGGAGAAAAACGAAAAAAATTCGAAAAAGCCCTCTTTAAAAGCTGCACAAAATTATAAAGCCACCTGGTTTTTCTAATCACTATCGCATTCGTTGAATCTCAAAATTTTTTGTGCAATCACATCCCAAAGTATGAAACATTTGCAACACCTACGGCCTGTCATCCTACTCAAGTAGAAGCGATCACTGCATTTTTTGCTTTGAAAAGCACCAAAAATTAGTTTGCTTCAACAAACAAATGGTTTGAAGAGTTTTCAAGCTCTTGTTCATTTCAAATAATAGTCATGGAATCTACTGACCCTTCTGGATAGATGAGGTGAAGTGCGCTTCCGTAAACTTTGCGTCATCGCTGATTTTGACGGACAGACTCCAACCCCACCATGGCGCACTTTTGCACCACAAAACTCGACTTTCAAGACAGAAATTACTGCAATGTAGCCATTACGACAGCCATACAACAGTGAACTCGTCTGCATGACTGGGAAAAAATTTCGGGATTGAGCACTCTGGTTCAGCCGCAGTTGACATCCACTGAATGTTGAGTGGAGCACCCTGCACAATCAAAGCCAACTCAGATCACGAGATAAAACCGGAGACGCTTAAAACTTCAAAATCTTAGCTAAGCTCATTCATCGGTTGAAATATGACCTGAAACACAGAGAGAAATCGGGAAATCTAAGGTTATATCGGAATTTCTGCTCGCAGGGAATTTTCGTGGAAAGTATTTCTAGTCTAAATCGCTACCGCATCATTGGGGAAAATCGAAAGTTGTGCGAAAGCTGCATCTCCATGTAGGCAATGTAATAAATCAAGTTCAGCATTTTGTGGACGTTGCAAAATGAGTTTTGTAGTTCAAAAGCGTTTCAAGCCTATGTTGAGGTTGGAGTCTGTCCGTCAAAATCAGCAATTACGCAGAGTTTACGAAAGCGCTCTTCACCTCATTCATCCAGAAGGGCCAGTAGATTCCATGATTATAACTTAAAATGAACAAGAGCTTGAAAACTCTCCAAACCATTTGTTTGTTGAAGCAGATTGGCTTTTGGTGCTTTTGAAAGCAAAATTGCAGTGATCGCTTCTATTTGAGTAGGATGATAGGCGGTAGATGTTGCAAATGCTTCATAATTTGGGATGTAATTGTACAAAAAAATTTGAGAGTCAACGAATGCGATAGTGATTAGAAAAACCAGGTGGCTTCATAATTTTGTCCAGCTTCTAGAGAGGGCTTTTTCGAATTTTTTCGTATTTCTCCGTTCAAATTCAACAAGACTGAAAGCCATTTTGTGGGGTCATGGTAGGTTGACATGGCACAATAAAGCAAAGTTTTAGACAGATTCATTAACAAGAACGAAAACTACGACGATTTCTAGAATGGCTTTATAATTATGTCCAGCACTGTATATAAAGCTGAATGTCTGTCTGTATGTATGTTTGTACGTATGTGCGCAATAGAAATTTTCATTTCTGAATAGATTTGGACCAAACTTGGCACACATGCACTTCGGGGCGGGGAGCGTGTCGTAGGCTACTTTTCGTCATCGGTCGATATCGATTTTATCTATTTTTTGCAAAGTTTGAGCTACGGGGCTGGAAATTGGCATAGGGGGGGGGGGTAATTGAGCATGCTGATTACGAATATATTATTGACAGGGCCGGGCGGAGCCGGGTTTGCCAACTATAACTACTATATAGTATATATAACGCTCAAGATTTTGAATTTGGAGGCTATGTGCGTTATAGAAACGCGCGCCGCTCAACCGATCTAGCTGGAACTTTGCACACATATGTTTTCGACCCCTGCGCAGATGATAGGCTACTTTCTGCAACGATTTATTGAGTCCTTCTTTTAATTTATTGATTTTTCTACGTCTTCCAAAGGAATTGAAGGCTTATCATGTTCAGTCAAGCATTTTCCCATAACATGTAAAGGAGGGGGTGAAGCTCATTTTCACCTCAGGATCACGAGGATGCGGTTTCGAAGCGGATGTTTCAGGGTAAGTTATCCATAACATACAGGGTGTCCCAAAAAGATGTGCACACTGTTTGATTTTGAATAACCCTATTATTATGAGGTCTTTCGAGAAGCGGTAAGCGCCATTTTGTAGAGCTAGCTTCAACTTAGATTTCCATTATAGAATGAATCACCCATCTCTCTTCATTACTGTAGGATTACGGTAGAAACTTGAAACATATGGTGTCAATGTGGAAAAAGCTGCCGTTTCAAAATTTTTCAAAAAATTGTGAAAACTTGTGTAATAGGGTTTTTATGGACGCTGAGTTCAATACTCAACTATTCACAAGATTACGAAGCTTTTTAAACGGTGTAACCACACTTTTTAGGAACATTGAAAAAATGGCCGCTACCTTTTACCTGGCGTAACTCTTCAGTGAAGCATCATAATAAGTTGGAAACTTTACAATTATAATCAGCAACTCTAATTAGCCCAGTATAAAAGTTTTTAGGTTGTTTTGATTCCTTTCTGAGGCAAAATACGGCATTTCATGGCCAAAAACCCTCTTCCAAGTTGTTACCGTAATCCTACAGTAAAGAGGAGCGGTCGGTGATTCGCTCTATACTGTAAATCTAAGTTGAAGATAGCTCTACAAAATGGCGCTTACCGCTTCTCGAAAGACCTCATAATAAGAGAGTTATTCAAAATCAAACAGTGTGCACATCTTTTTGGGACACCCTGTATAAAAGGGGGAGGGGTGGGCTCCAGTACAGGAGAACAATGGCTCGGTCTGGACCGGCAAACCCAACTAGTTTTGTATAAAATTAGACACTGATTCCAAATTTGCCCTCATTAGTCCATATGCGGCTCTGGCTCCGCAGAGTTATGAGCGCTTTTTAATCAAAAAATTGAGCGAGCCATTAGATTAAAATTTTGAAATCGTTCAAATGGCTAATTTCTGGGTATCAGATCACACTGCGGATATCTTCTATTTAATCTCACTCGTCACTGCTGTACTTGAGCGTTGAAGAGAACGTCACGACCTGATTTTATTTAGAAAATGCTCTCATTTCTTGCACAAAACACTCACAACTCGGCGTCCAGAGGTGCGCTGCAGAAACTGAAGACAGATTTGAATTCAGTGTCTGCTTTCCTACAAAATGATATAGCGTTCATTTGGAGCAACCACTTTGATTAAAAACGCATTCTCTGTTAATTCTAAACAAAGTCTAGGGCGCAACAGAACATATGACCAAGCATGAAGCATTTCTTTCGATTGCATGTGCTCTGTTACGTATATCGATAGTTTTGAGTTATATGGAAAAAATATGTAGGCGAGACGAATGGGGGTCAGGATCGACGAGCACAAAGATGGATTGCAAAGACTAAGTTCATCAAACTCTTTGGGCACGCGTCATAAGTTGTGCCATTAAGACAGGTTCGCTTACGAGGTTTCGCTTGACATTCTGTTACAGGAAACGAGTTGTCGTCGCGAAAGACCTTCGAGGCGTGCTGGATTTTATCCAGGAATCCCAAAATCAACAGAAGAGAATGCATTACTCTTATGACTTGCTCCACTACTGTAGTTATGCAAGTATTGATTTATACATACGCCCACTACTGGAGTCATTTGAGTATTGATCTATGCATACCCTCCAGAAATTTGCCTCGTTCGTTGTTAGCGCATCCCGTGCGGTGGATCTTCCTCATTTAACAGCAAAGATGAGCTAGTAGTTCTCGCCCTCAACGAGAGCTTTTTTCCACCTTTTAGGATATTCCTGCATGTGATGGGATGGTTGAAAGGTTGTTCTTCACTATTCCCTCATTTCATAGTCTCTGACGAAGGCGACCCGACTAGGCAGAACGTTAGCCGAATAAATGCTGTAATGATTGGTGCTGGCAAAATCACTTAAACAGTTTAATGCTTATGATCTTCCGGAAGAAGCTAGTGAACTTTTTGAATGCGTTAAGGACTTGAAATTTTATAAAGGACAAGCTAAAAAACTTGCTGAACTATCATCCTCAAGCCATACTTTTTTACACTCTAACTCAAAAACTGCCACGCGTTATGTTTTGAAACGTAAAAGATGTTTTGCCTTATTCTAGAGGATCGGAAATGATGAGATGAGAAATGTAAAAGTAACGTTAATATTTTTTATTATAAATTCACATCAAATTCGTACCGTCTGCAAATTTTTGAACAAGTCGTACTTCTTTTTGATAATCTTGTTCTTTACTTCTTTTCAATCGCTCCAAGTGTAAGTCAATGGTTTGTTTGTTCGTAACCAGCGCTGCTTCATGATTCCATATTTGTTTGCCTTAATTTCAGGATTAAATTGAGAGCAACTTTGTACTCTAAGTGATTGAGCAAATATAAATTTCCGGATAATTTTAGCCATGAAATGTTAATGTTTCGGAACAAAACGGCTGAGAGCATTGGAAAAAGCTAGATACAGCTGTTCTCATTTTGTTGAGGCAATTTTTTGCTGTGGAATACTTTGCGCGCTTCAGAAATGAGGTTAGAAAGTAGTCCTGCACATCAAATTTTGCCGAAGAAAGCCGGGTTCCGCAGGGCCGATGTAGAGCTGATTAAGGCGCCTTCATGATTAAACAAACATATTTGAGCTGTCTCATGCTTACACTCATAACGCGAGGACATTCTCTTTACAAGAGAAAGACCCTAAACTTTAGTGGCGAATTAGAATGAAATGCATATTGTTAAATGCGCTGATGCTCATGCTCAACTGAGCTGATTTTAATCTTTTGTATGTGCTGAGTAATTCTCTAGAAAAAGTTATGAGCGGTTAAAGTGTAAAGTCATTAGGGCTTTGACACATGATGTGGATTGCAATTCAACTTAAGAGTGCGTAATTGCTAGGGTATTCACATGACCACAAGGAATGCACACATTCACCAGAAACATAAATAAGCGCGTCGAATAACTAATATTCAAAATTGTGCCACTAATAGTTTGTCATATCAGAATCAAACGATCATTTCTTTCAGAAAATACCACAGCAGATAAGGAAGTCAGATATGTATTTAGATAAACAAGGCCGATTTAGAATGCGTTTTTTTAGATTGCCACTGCGATTGGGATCCTGCCCCAGTTAGAGGCTAACTTCCTCGCTCTTCTTAAAACGTCAGACCAAGGCACTTCTCTGCATAAAACGAAAATCAGAAAGAGTTCGACATGTGGCAATGGTATATCATCATCTACAATGAGGAAGTTACGTCACAAATCGTAGGTGTTGGTTTTAGAGCCTGAAGAGTCCCAAATGGCATATAAGGCAAGCAAGTCGTCCGTCCAAAACGGTAGTGGGGCCTGGTTCAAAGATGCATATCCCAGCCCCCTGTGCGCCATTTGCACTACCGCTTAGATAATGCGTTTGGCTCCCGAAACCTGTCTTCAAGATCCCTATGTCTTCAGTTTTTGGACGCTGCCTTCAAGAGTTCCAACGTCGTTGCTGTTTCGGGTTTTAAGAAGAAGAGTATATTTAAAATCAGAATGTTACTTTGTGTCAAACTTTGGATGCAAGATCTATGTATAGAAATCATGGAAAAAATTTTATAAACTGAACATCCGTCACCTCGGAGCGGCATTGAGAAATTTGCAAGAAAATTGGGCAAGCAGTTCGTTTACATTTCGTATACGATTTCGTACTTTGTTACTGTTACTGATCCCCTCTATCGCCAACATTGGTGACATATTATTCCTTGCCGTTGCAGGCGACCTATTTTCCATTTTTTACCAGTAAGAAATTTTCAGAAAAAAACTTGGTGTACAACATTTTATGCACCATGCTCCTTATAACCTTACCCGTTTATACACCAGATTCAGTTCATATACAATACCGCCCATAATTCGTCAAAAAAATCGCCGGACTGCGTCGCACTCCGCCAGAGTCCGCTGCAGTGCGCCGGAGTGCGGCAGAGTGCGCCACACTCCACTAGAGTCCGTCGGAGAGCAGCGGAGTGCGCCGCACATCACTAGAGTCCGTCGGAATCGGCGTCGCATCGCCATATCTCGCTTCAAAATGGACGAATTCTGAATCCGAGGACACCATTCGATTCAGCTCGGCGAGGCGCACCATCTAGTCTAAGAGAGTGCCACAACCTAGCAGGATATGATAGGTACCATTTGATTCAACTGGCTTGGCATCGGCAAAGGCGGGGCTTCGTGACCTAATAAAGCTAGGTAATGATCAGAGAGCACTCGCGCGAGAGAGATGCAGGTGCGTCGCGGGCGCGAGCGGCCTCAATTAGATCACAAAACCCCGCCCTATGGTGCTAAGCCAGTTACATCAAAGGTTATACGCTAGAAGTAAGTTTTCGCTCAATTTTGCTGGATTTTGTTTGGTTGAATTGTTAGGTGTGCTGATAACAGTATTGCCATTGATTTGTCGCTGATGACACATAGAAAGTATATGTAGGAGTATGGTAGAGAGTCACTCTGATCGAATTTGTTCTAAAATCTGCTCAAGATCACAATACCGCTCACAGAATTGCAAAATCTCCGTGAACTTCGCGGAATTAAGAGATTTTCGCCAGAGTCCGCGATAATCCGGGAATTTCGCGACATTCCAGAGTACGCGGAGTCATGGGAATCACGCAGAATACGCAACGCCCTAGCTTTCTTTGAAACAAGGCTTATATAAAGCTGGATGTCTGTCTGTCTGTCTGTATGTCTGTATGTATGTGTATACTTATATTCCGAATAGAAAATTCATTTCTCAACCGATCCGGACCAAACTTGGCGCACATACATATACGGGGCGGAGCGGGTGTCATAGACTACTTTTCGTCATCGATCGATATCGATCTTATCGATTTTTATCGATTTTTTGCAAAGTTTGCGCTACGGGGCTGGGAGTTGGCACAGGGGATAATCGAGCGTGCTGATTACTTAAACAGCGGGAATAAGGAAATGGCATGTAGGCGTGGGCACAGGGAAAGGTTGCACAGGGAGACGAATGAGAGCTTTATCATAGTGTTTTGACAGGGTCGAGCGGAGCTGGACAAGCCAGCTAGTACATTCTAAATCCGGAAGCAGCATTTTCTTCAGGCCGTCGAGGCAAATCTTTTGATGTACGGCATGCCCTCGATATGCCGTTTCCAGTTTTCTCAAATTTTTTTATGGGGGGCTTTTCGCAAGGATGTAACGCAGCGTCTATTTAACGTAAAGCTTCCAGTAAGCACTATTCGATAGTACTGTTCTTGTGTTATTTATCGTGCGTCCAAAAGTGGCTGCAGACTTCTTCCAAAAGAGATAGAAACGTTGTGGGTTTTGGAAAAATCACGCGTTCCCAAATTCTACTCACCGTAACTTCCTTCGGAATGAATATATTCTGAATCCAAAGAAAGCTCTATGCTTAGTTCATCAAGGCAAATCTTTCGATATAATTCATGTCCTTGATATTCCGATTTCAGTATTCTCAAATCTTTCTGTGGTCGTCTTTTCGCGAAAGTGTAAAGCAGCGAGCATTGTCCCGAGTAAATTCCAGCAAGGACCTTTTGATAGTACTTATTCTGTAGATTATGGAGCGCTAAAAAGTAGTCACAGTCGTCTTTCCAATGGATAGAAGGGCTGGTAGATTGTAAAAAAAAATCTTGTTGTCCCAAATTCTACTCGTCGTAACCCTAGAATACGAAGCTATCTTGCTAAGCCGATATGTTTGTAATCAGAAAGTCCGATAATCTCTATGAGCAAATTTTCAGAGAACTTCGGATTATTTGATTTTTTTTCGTTTTACGCTCTGAAGCACGTCAGTGGGTTTTGGTCGAAATGTTGGTGATCTTGGTTTGAAACGAACTCCTCTCATAGAGGTTTTCGAACACGCTAATCATGGAAATCGTGTGCTCTGTCAAGTACAGGGTCTTTTTGCAGAGATATGGCGAGGTAACTGTAACGGAGTCACGAAAGCTCGTACTTCGCCTGCACTTCTCGCGTATCTATCAGAAAGCCTGCTTGACTGCTTACGAAGGTTAAATTTACTAGGCGGTTTGCCATCGAATGGTGCATGTCTCAAGCTCCAGTATATAAAATTTGCCAGTTACAAGCTTACGAAAACACGCCCTCACGAATTTCGCCCAAAATGTACAGATCGCATACTTCGTCGAAATTCCAGCGTGACTGGTTATAACAGTTTAAATGCAAGTATTAAGTTCACTTTGTTCAAGGGATCCCACTGTACCGAATATGGTGGTTGAGTGTGCTCCAGCTGCCTAGTTGAATCAGCTTCGTGGCTGGAGCTCAGATAACTATATAACTATATATAACTATATAACTAGTTATATATAACTACATATAACTATCAACTCCACAGGAAGATCCATTGAGCGATGTGAATAGATTTGATCAGCTTTTTATGCAACCAGTCATGGTGGAATTCGACGAAGTATGCGATCTGTACATTTTGGGCGAAATGCGTGAGGACGTGTTTTCGTAAGCTTGTAACTGGCAAATTTTATATACTGGAGCTTGAGACATGCACCATTCGATGGCAAACCGCCTAGTAAATTTAACCTTCATAAGCATTCAAGCAGGTTTTCTGATAGATACGCGAGAAGTGCAGGCGAAGTACGAGCTTTCGTGACTCCGTTACAGTTACCTCGCCATATCTCTGCAAAAAGACCCTGTACTTGACAGAGCACACGATTTCCATGAACAGCGTGTTCGAGAACCTCTATGAGAGGAGTTTCGTTTCAAACCAAGATCACCAACATTTCGACCAAAACCCACTGACGTGCTTCAGAGCGTAAAACGAAAAAAAATCAAATAATCCTCCGAAGTTCTCTGAAAATTTGCTCATAGAGATTATCGGACTTTCTGATTACAAACATATCGGCTTAGCAAGATAGCTTCGTATTCTAGGGTTACGACGAGTAAAATTTGGGACAGCAAGATTTTTTTTACAATTTACCAGCCCTTCTATCTCCATTGGAAAGACGCCTGTGACTACTTTTTAGCGCTCCATAATCTACAGAATAAGTACTATCAAAAGGTCCTTGCTGGAATTTACTCGGGACAATGCTCACTGCTTTACACTTTCGCGAAAAGACGACCACAGAAAGATTTGAGAATACTGAAATCGGAATATCAAGGACATGAAGTATATCGAAGGATTTGCCTTGATGAACTAAGCATAGAGCTTTTTTAGGATTCAGAATATGTTCATTCCGAAGGAAGTTACGGTGAGTAGAATTTGGGAACGCGTGATTTTTCCAAAACTCCCCAACGTTTCTATCTCTTTTGGAAGACAGTCTGCAGTTAGCTTTAAACGCACTATAACCTACAAAAACAGTACTATCGAACAGTGCTTACTGGAATCTTTTCTGTTACACCGCTGCGTTACATCCTTGCGAAGGGACCTCCACAGAAAAATTCGAGAAAACTAGAAACGGAATATCGAGAGCATGCTGTACATCAAAAAGTTTGCCTCGACAACCTGAACACAATGCTGCTTTCGGATTTATAATATATTTGTTCTGAAGAAAGTTATGGCGTTGCGTATTCTGCTTCCGCGGATTCTGGAATGTCGCGAAATTCCCGGATTATCGCGAACTCTGGCGGAAATCCCTTAATTCCGCTAAGTTCACGGAGATTTTGCAATTCTGTGAACGGTATTGTGATCTTGAGCAGATTTTAGAACAAATTCGATCAGAGTGACTCTCTACCATACTCCTACAGTATACTTTCGATGTGTCATCAGCGACAAATCAATGGCAATACTGTTATCAGCACACTGAACAAATCAACCAAACAAAAGCCAGCAAAATTGAGCAAAAACTTACTTCTAGCGCATACCTATCATATCCTGCTAGGTTGTGGCACTCTCATAGACTAGATGGTGCGCCTCGCCGAGCTGAATCGAATGCTGTCCTCGGATTCAGAATTCGTCCATTCTGAAGCGAGATATGGCGATACGACGTGGATTCCGACGGACTCTAGTGATGTGCGGCGCACTCCGCTGCTTTCCGCCGGACTGCAGTGCAGTGCGGCGCACTTCGCTGCACTCTAGTAGAACTGCGTCGCACTCCGGCGCACTGCAGCGGACTCCGGCGGAGTGCGCCGCAGTCCGGCGACTTTCTTGACGAATTATGAGCGGAACTATAGTTAGTAGTAGTTATGTATGCGTTGTAAATGAGGCAGTTATTACTATTTGAAAAAGATTGGGATTTTTGAAGATGATAAGCGAGCAAGATTCTATTTACACGTCGACCGTTTAGCGAGTCGTTAAGGGAGTTGCGCACTTCATATGAACATTTGTTTACGATATCTCTTTTGATTTTCCCCAAAACGATTCTCAACTTACGACCGCCCTCTCTTGCCAAACTGTTTGATTCTTCCATGCCTGTCTCCCATTGTCGCATGAGATTTTTACTTCTCCCGGCATCCTGCTTTTTGAATGCCATTCAGGAAACCATAAAAATTCCTCTACAAGACTGTTGTGTGGAAAATCGAGGTGCTATCAGTAGTATATGATAGAATAGCTTGGATATGGGATCGGCAACCAACACGGCATCGTATTGAACTTCTCTCTGCCGCACGATATTTCCATAAAAAATTATGTTAGGCCCTGGGCAGAGCTCACGCGACGAAGTCGCGCGATCTCCAGTCGCGACGACTTGCACGAGAGTAACGACTGGACGCGGCGACTGAGTCGCTCAGTCGCCGGAGGCGTGCATACCTCCGACGCGATTTCATGCAAATGCACAACACTTCACACATTGCACGTACTCCAATTCATTACTGAAAATCAGTGCTCTCGTTGACTTTAATACATCACTGTCATTCAAAAAAGGTGTAGCAGCAGACAAAGGAAGCTTGATTTATCACATTAGAATCCGACTTGATAACAATCACAACGTTATGCACCCAAATGATCAACAGGAAAACCCAACTCATCGTGGTTCTGGAAAAAATGGCTCATAATCAAATGACTGTTGGGAATCATCAATTAGGAGTAGGAAACAAGTACCAGCAAGGCCACCAGTGGCTTCCCATTCCGAAAGAACCGTCCCGCGGCAAAACGATGTTTTCAGCTCTAGAAACGTCCCCCATATGCTGCACATGATAGACGAAAATACTGTTAATACCTCATGCAAAGCTCATAGTTCGGAGTTTGCTGCATACCATCGTCAACGTAGACAGTAAGCACATTCTTTAAGTATTCGATGCGCAATCGAACAGAGTAGGGCTTGTAACGGATCTTTTTGGCAGCCTAGGATACATGAGATGTAGGAAAATGCAGATGAAAGACATGAAGAAAATGCAAAATGAGGACTAGCTACCTTCATCAAACAATGCAAGGATGGGCATAATTTAGCATTTGCAACATTTCATGCGAAAACACTCATAACCCGCAAAAAAACAGCAACTTAAAACAACAACATCGAAAATGTAGTTCAGAATCGGCGCGACGGTCGCCCCGTCGCTCGCCGCAAACGAGCGACGCGACATCGCGCCGATTCGGCAAAATCGCGACGATATCGCCTGCCAAGCTATGAACGCCGAAAAGTGTGGCGCGATCCGTCGCGCCGCGCAGCCATCACAAACGCGTCGGGACCCACACACCAAACAGCGTGGCGTGGAACACTTGTCCAAAATGGCAGGGCGCGACGCGACGAAATCGCATGGGCTCTGCCCAGGGCCTTAAGGAAAGGACAATGTAGACTTGAGCACTGTTCAACGGAGTAACTTCTAGGAAAACCGACCACATTTGCAGCCCGTATTTGGAGAATGACCAATGTTCTTATTGTAGTAGTTTCGTCTAGGCCAGGAAATTCGATGTGCGGGGTTTGTCTCCATTTTCAAAAGTAAACGATTTTTTTTCTCGGCAACAAACTTAGGCTATGCTCATGCCCTCGAAGACTTGGAATAAAAACGTGGAACCGAAAGCAATTTTATCTACAACCCGAGGGTATATGTTCAGTCTGGATCTATAACAACTTGAAAACCCTGCGTCAGTTGACACTCGCTAACTCATTCTACAAAGCCGTTCCGCAGCTACATAAGACAGACTTGGAATCAGCGTTCCAAGCGCTTCACGATAATATATGCCTCATCCGGATTGGCCGAGCTGACTTGGAAACCTTTTCCTGTTAAAACTTACTGTCGCGCGGGAATAAATAAGCGAAAAGACTTCTTTCGAGCTTTCTAAAGGCAGCATGTTTTGGTTTTGATCTTCGTTCAAGAGTAATAAAAGTCTTACATACTTGCTGCATACGTCATAGATAATTTCTTTCCTACTAACATGCTCAAAGGGTGGCCGGACTGCAAAAATTTTATTGAACGATTAAGAAACACCCTTTTGAAATGCTTGTCCGAAATAAAACCGCTTCGTTCTTCATCACCACAAATTTTCAAGATTTGATAAAGAACACCTTTGCTGCGCTACCATCTCCGCGCGACAGTAACTTCTGACAGAGAAAGATTTCCAAGTCAGCTCGGCCAATCTGGATGATGCATGCATGATCGTAAAGCGCCTGGAACGCTGATTCCAAATGCCGTATCTAGCTGCGGAACGGCTTTGTAGAAGGACTTATGGGGGTGCTCCCCTCCGAGGTTGAGGCGCCTTCAACATTTCGCTTGTCTACGTGCGATGTTGAAGAGTATACAATGGGCCTCATAATCCGTGGACCACATTAAGAGACTACGAAGCTATTCGTTTGTCCTGCCTGAGGAAAATGCTCAGAGATTAAGAATATTCCGCTGTCTATTTCTTTATGTCTCAAAAGCACGTATAAGAGATTTTCATCTTCTTTTGTAAACATGATATAGATTTTTCCGTTCATTGTAGAGATTCGGTACTAAAAACACTTACTAATACGGCAGAGTTCTTTCTGGCAATTATCTCAGAAGCCACCAAAGCAAATGGCCCAGATCATGACTGCTGGAAAGAGGAAGAAAAACTGCGTCTGGTTTTCAGAGCATTTGCCTGCCTTTATTCCACCTGACTTTGTGGCAGATTGAAAAAACGGAAAGAACTTTTGAATCGACCTGATATATGCCTCATCCGGATTGGCCGAGTTGACTGAGGAACCTTTCCTTGTGAGAAGAAGATCAAAATTTCAGTACTTGCTCACTGCATGCCCCCTGTGTAGCCAGTATGAAGTATCTACATTTTGAAAGAGTCAAAAATGGGCTTTGGAAATATAGTAATGAAAATGTATCCACTGTTAGTCACTCTCGTGAGCAGAAGCCGTGTCCGGACTGGAGCAGTTCCGGACTATGTGGAGGTTTTGGGTACTATTGCGCGAATGTAGCCACCCTGACATGCCCCCAGCCCAACCGCAGCACGTTTCGTGAAAACGGGAAGGCAAAATGGTCCACAAGTTGGGAGATTTACGCCACAATCGGAGAACTCCGCCCACCAAATGATAAATTGATAAGCTAGGGTGATTTGTCGCACACAGTCGAATGGTAGGGTTTCACAGGACTCCGCGTCTTAACCTCGGCGAGAAGCTTTTAAATCAAAAATTAGAGGCTTTTAGAGTAGTCAGCTTTCGAGAGGTATTGATAGCCCGTTTTCGACATGTCTGGAAGCTGGATTTTCAAAACCAGCAGAAAAAATAAGCCCAAATAAGCGAAAAAAATTCTGTTCGAAATTTTGCGAGGACACTGCCTTCAAAATTTAAACTTTCTGCAAATTGGCTTCCTTCCAAATTAGTTGCAGTTTGAGCAACTTTTTGAAACACCTGAAATCTCATCTGATAAGGTTTTCTGGAGTGCTGAATTCAGCAAACAGGTTTGTAACGGTTGTGAACAGCTAAGATGGTATGAAGATTTTTTTGTATCGTGATTTGAGTTTCAATGGTGCAAATCCGTTCGAGGTTTCCTTCATAATCCTGCAGAGAAGATCAGTGATTTCTTTCAAAGTGTAGATCTAAGTCAAGTTAGCACAGAATATACGAAGGTCATCGAAAATCATTAGGACACGAGAGATAATCAAACAGTGGGGACATTTTTGAGACATTCTTCAATTCAAAATCCAATTTCACTAAGTATTTGCCTGAATCCTTACCTTCTTTGCACTTGTCGAGCTCTAATGGTGTTTTTAAGGTGTTAAACCAAGGATAGAACTTAGGTCCATTGAGAACGCTGAAAAGCTTACTTTTAGTGTTTTCATTATAATACTTTCTAACATATCATTACTTTTTTTGACCTATGTTAAAGCGCTTTTTATCTCTTTCCTTCAAACCATGAAACATAAAATCTCGTTGAAGATTCCAATGACTATTCGTCAGCCAACCATCTCTCACCCATCCTTCTCCCTGAATAAATTGTAGGATGACTTTCTACTCAACAAAAACGCTTGTACTGTTCCTCGAGCATGAGACAGAGGACTCGATGCATGCTTATGCTAATCATTGAAACCAGATTGAAGCTTGCAAATATTTACACATAAAAAATTGGGTATTTTGTATTCAAAAGATATGATTCCTCGCTGCTCACTTACGGGAAATTTCTATTTCGGATCGTAAATTATGCCAAACATGGATAAAATACGGAAACAAATACAATGCAACGATAACCTGGAAGATCTGGAAGAAGCAGCAGGGCGGTGGTAAATATATCCTACCTGGGGCATCATAGATGCCGGCAGGTTGGTACACATTCCGGAAAGTTGCCAACTTCGGCGGCAGAGGCGGATTGATTGTAGGGATAACCTCAATTCGCATGCACTATGCGCATGAGATTTTGATAACGCAGGCAGTTGCAAAAGTTACAACGAGCGCGATCGAACCTGCACGCGTCAACTTTGAGTGCCGCAGCACAAATTATTCAACTACGCCGTCATTTTCGCTGTGTGCGACAGCAATAACAGAAACGCACAGAAAAGTCGCGCCTGTGAGAGCACAGGATCAATACATCGCGTTATATACATCGACCTGAAAGAACAGCTGATTGATAAGAGCAAGAGACAGACGAAAGTGTTGCAAACAAGATTTGAAGGGATTGCAAGAAGATGGCGTTTTTTGGTTTTATAACATTACTATTCATTTTTTCTACAGATATACCAAAATTATTAGGTTGTCCGGAAATTAATGCAGGTTTTGAATTCCAACCGCAATAAATCATACACTTTTCATTTCCAAGTAGGCTGCAAAGTACCATTCGATAGAACAAAGCAAGCTCTACAAAAACGCTATCTAGCTTTAACAACAACTCTGATCTACCTCGAGTTTCGAGCCAAAAACTAAAAAGACTCAGCAACCCGAAAAATTGAGGAAAATCGTAACTCAGTTCACAAAAATGCTACAAAAATTCTAACTCGCTCGCGTTAACACAATCCATATAAGGCGTCTATATACGCCGCTGCCGTATTTTTTTTCTCTGTTAGAAATCAAGAAAACGGAAATTTTCATGCGTTTGTCAAATTGATGCTGTGCCATTCCCACATAAGTAGTTGTATAGTACAAACCTGTAGGAGTAAAAACGCAAATTTTCAGCTCTCTACAAGCTTTAATTCTCGAGAAATTTGAATTTAAGCATAAACCACCTAACTAGGGAAAGCTATAATCGGTATTTCTCGAGAACTAAAACTTATAAAGAACTGAAAATTTGAGTCTGTACTTCTACAGGTTTGTGGTATATAACTATGTATGTGGGGATGGCACAGCATCACTTTGGCAAATGCACGAAAATTTCCGTTTTCTTGGTTTCTAACAGGAGAAAAAATACGGCAAAAGCGTATATAGATGTCCTAAGTGGATTGTGTTTACTTGAGTTTTGTGAACTGAGTTACGATTTTTCTCAATTTTTCGGGCAGTTGAATCTTTTTAGTTTTTGGCTCGAGACTCATGGTGGATCAGAGCTGTTGCTAAAGCAGGGTAGCCATCTTGTAGAGCTTGCTTTGTTCTATCGAATGGTACTTTGTAACCTAGTTAGAAATAAAAAGTACCTAATATGAACAAGGAAAACACCCACATAATGACAAAAATAATGGTTTTTCGATGAAAAAAGAATTTTTCTGATCCTTTCGCTTGACGTAAATTGTGTGCTATTGCAGCATTACTCGGTTTCACAGACGCCGTCGGCGAAGGTGCCAGCATCTCAACGTGGCGTACGAAATGCCGACAGCCTCCTCTTTCAAAAGAGCACGACAAGATGCCGGCGTTGCCAGCAACTGACCTCGCGAAGTTGCCGGCAGCTCCCTCATGCGCTTCCAAATATTTTCCTAAAGGAAGATTTTTGGAATCGCAATTTTTGATGGAGGTTTCAATAAAGTCGGGTCGGCATTTTCATCAAGAAAATTTTTTGGAAAAAAGCCTAGGGCGGCCTACATTTGGGGTTTTAGTTACTGGTCACCTCACGGAAAAATGCCAGCGACCTGTCGACAAAACCTGCCGCTAGGTCGGGGGATTACTACCGCCCCAGGAGCATGGCAGCACCAATCACTCCAAAAGTGTGATGCGCCTCAATAAAAAAACGCAATTTCTTCTTCTTGTAATTTTTTTTGTTTTTTTTTGCAATGTTGTGGTTGTCTGTCATCAATTATTTTCGTGTAATCTGCAATCGCAGATCATATCAAAACATCTGCTATTTAACCTTAAGACCCCAAAATGCCACATTCTCAAATTTTCGGCAAATTTTTACTTTTTTTCCAGCCATAAAAAGGTCGGCAAGCGTACATTGTCTGACATGTATAGTGCAGTTATAAGAAATTGGAACTCGCAGGATAGATAGATTATAGACAGATTAGATAAAAATCTAGCTTCGATATTGAAAACCTTTTAGATTACGCCCCAAACTTCACACAAATTCATCCCTTCGCGATTGCTCAAAGGCACCGTCCACCCAAAATGGAGGTTGGCGAGATTACGATGACATACAGTGTGGGCCCCCACACTAGGCAAACCCTCAAGCTTCACCGCAAAAGACTGCTTCTGGAGCGAGAAATCTGCTCCGGAAGTTGCGAAGTAGGTACTTATATGCTTTATCTCGCCTGCGCTTGTTACAGAGGGTTCTCGAAACAGGGATTTTTGGGGGTTCCATGGATTTTCGACTCCATATTCGGAATCAGGGCTTTCAGAAGGCCTGAAGGAGACAAAAACATCGAATTCGAGATTATGGGTGGACGGTGCCTTTAATATTATCTTGTAAACCTTGCTTTGCTTTATCGATTATTGTATTTTATTCATGAAGTTTCTTGTGAGCCAACTTTGCTAAGCCATCTATTCGGTCTAAGTCATTGCCCCGTATGATCAGATCTTTCTCTAGACTAGCTTAAGCCTTTACTTTTGAGCCATGTCTCAAAAGTAAACAGGACGAGACATTACACAACAAGTTGTATACCCAGGTTTCTACCGACAGCGCAACGACAAACTTTCAAGCTCCATTGACGATGAAAGACTACAGCTGACCGATATGGACAGCTAAGTACTAGCAGAGGCGACATGTATAAGTGACAGTATGACAGGAACGCATCAAGTCACTAGATGCAGAACTACCCATTCTTCCTGTTCAGTTTCGGTTTGCACAAGAGAATGTATGTCACTTCAAACGCTTTGCGAGGAGCGATTCTTGGCTCGCAACCATGGAAGATGCACCTGATATCAAAGTCGTTGCTATAATGGTCCATCTTCCTGTGCCTTCCTAGCAGACCTGCTGTGCTTGGGCTGCTACCTCATTTGCCAACTCGACGGATTCTCGTCTTACACTTTCTCCACTGCGGACCTCGATTGTCATTTTATACATGTTCCGCAGTTATCCGATTGTTCAACTGCTCAGACAATCGCCGGAGGCAGGCGGGCACCGGAAAAATAGATTGCTGATCTCTCGCACCCCGCTCGCGGATTTTTTGGAAAGCAATCAGGACTTTTCGGAAGACCGCTTGCTGAGTTCTCGATTCCTCAGAGATTCAGCAATATATCTGCAAAAGATAAGAGCGAAAAAAATTCAACAGGCGGTCTCTCAAAAATCCGCTGACTCAGCAAGCGGTCTTCCGAGAAGTCCTGATTGCTTTGCAAAAAATCCGCGAGCGGGGTGCGAGAAATCAGCAATCTATTTTTCCGGTGCCCGCCTGCCCCCAGCGATTGTCTGAGTGCAACCGGATTACCCGAATTTGTATGTAAGACGACAGTCTTAGAGCTCTCCTTGCGATACTGTCTCACTTGTATCGTACCGTTATTTAGCATTAGCAGATGTTTATGTAGAAAGCCAACCGTTTCAGGGTGCTTTTCTGGCAAAACTTATGTACTGTAATTTCTGGTTTGAGTCTTGAAACAATCATCATTTCGGACTGTGTTGAAGTCATAATGCCACATTCTTCAATATATCGGTAGTACTAAGTGGGCATCGTAATAGCACCGGTCTTTCCAGTCTGCTCACGAAACCGATGGCATAGGTGCTAACCGTTAGCCAACTGCTAACCCCCTCAATTGTGAATAATATGCGCATGAAGATAATACTGTTGAGTTATTCCTCAAAGTCATTAAACATGCTGTACTGACCTCATACATCAAGAGATGGTATTACAATGACATACATCGGATGACTACTTCACACAGGCCTGATGAAATTAATCATGATTTGATTGCTCAAGGTAATACTAGGTTGTCCCGAAAGTTTTGTCGGTTTTTTCAAACGACCATAAAAACAGGCACAATAAAGACTTGAATAAGCTTTAACGTGCATTCGATGCGACTTTTCCTTCTCTTTCTTATCTATACATTTCGAACCACAATCTTGCATACTTTTTTTGGATAATTGCCAAAATTCACCACCCGTCAATTTCAACTGCTCACAGTTTAACCAATATTCGAAAATTTCGTTCTGAGGACTTGGAATGGGTTAACTATGAATCAAATAGAGAATAAATATCGGACTACAAGGAAGCATTTTTGAATTTTCCTAACCTGCTGTTTTTAGCTCCAAAAGATTATTTCTTCGGAGGTCTCGATTTTTGGCAAGGTCATGACACACGCAACTGCAGCAAATACACGAAACTTTTGAAGTTTCTGCAAATTGGTACAAATCCCTTATTAAACATTATTTATGCAACATAACAAGTTTAGTTTGCTTTAAAAAAGCAGCTTTTGGAGTTCTTGGTACTTGCCTAGTAAACGTAATCGAAAAAAGCCCGGTTTTTATCAAATAAATAATCATAACGGACTTGGTAAACGTTGCCCATATGATCTAATTGGCACAATGTAGCCAAAGGTTTGCTCTACACCATAGCTACCAGCGCTTCTGAAAACCGCAACATAAAAATTTTGAAAATTCAGGAAAGATTCGGCGTTACTGCTAAGATATCAAAAAGCCATGGCGA